TAAAACAATTTCAGTTAAGGTGCAAGTACATAGTACATTTTCCCACAATTTTCTCACATTTATTCGCTTATTTATTATCATGTGCCCAATAAACCCTATAGTAGGGACATTGTTTTATTTCGACACACGGCCATCGTTTAGTATGTACTGCGTGAAATTATTCTTGAATTTGGCAATTTTTCCTTGCCGGGATTTTCTCCGTATGGAGCATAAAACTTTATAACGGGAATTTACGTGACAATATATAAATATGATTTAAGCTTCATAAAAGAAAAAGCTATACATTTAAAATAAAATATAATGTCACCTGGGCACACTTCAAATCGTGTAATTTGAATAGTGTAAATATGACATGATTTTTAGACTGCAAATGCAATGCAAATATTTTTATTCTGCAACAATGTATTTAACTCGTATACAGCTTGACTGCACTTAGCCTATTGTGTAATGAACATTCATGCATACATATATATTTGTATATAAATGTTAAATACATTATGTATGTATGCAGCAAACATCCGGATACTGTTGTTGGTGTTTAAGGCGCCAATTAGCCGTTAATTTATGTTAAATATCAATTGAAAAGTTCAAGTTTTCCCATCAACAATCGAATCGTTTCATCACATTCATACGTCCAGCGAGATTTTTCTTAGTCATCGAAAAGTAATTAAATGAAAATCTTTTGTTAAATAACTTATAAATGCAATTTGAAGTTCAAAATGGTAGACGTTTTTGAATACAAGTTTAAGTGTGGGCATACATGTGATGAGTTTAAATTCTTGTATTTTTTTTTTTTTTTTTTTTGTATTTTATATAATTAGTTCAATGTTACCCTAACACTCAATTTTTTGAATTTAAATATCGATTTTTATCGATTTAGAATATATTCCTTCTGATTTTTCTATCCTGGCACAAGAATACATGAGGAAGGTTAACTTGAGTTGCATGAGAAAAATACATCTCTATAGTAGCGAATTTCGCATTATTAACTACATAATTTTGATTGTGTCCATTTTTGTTTGCCATTTTATTCATTTTTGATCATGGAAAGACAATAAATGTAAACCCATTTGTTAAATTTAATATGACAACCCTTTTCTGGAATATTTTGTGACATATCATAAAGGGATACCAAGCCGACCTCAAACTCTGCCGTCGTCTCCCTTTATAATTTGACATTATTATGCCTAGCCATAATGTCAAGCTACGTATGTATCCTCACCTTAATACTTGGAACATAAATTACGTACCTTACAAAGATTCGTCACTTGAGATATAAACAAAGAAATTTTAAATATTACTCGTTCATCAATTATGTTCTGAATGCATATTGTCTTTAAAACGGTGACACATGCCCAAAGCAAATTCTAACCTACAAACATTCTAAACAAACAAGAATAACTGTCAAATTTTCACTTACCGTTTGAAATAAGATAATATTTTGAAAAACGACTTAGTACTGACCTTAATGAAAAAAAAAAAAAAAACGTTGAGTTTATGTATAGTTTAAACATTGAATACATGTTTAAACTATGCGAATAAAAGTGGCAGTTATATTTGTTAAAATGACATATTTTATGTGGAACTCCATTATTTTCGTTTTCATTTTATGTTCCATATAATGTTAATCTGCACTGATTGTTGTTGCTATTGTTATGTTAATTCTTTAAACCACAAAAGGCAAATAGTTTGACTATTGTTAACATTTCTTTATTCTCTATTTGGCCAAATATTTATTCGTAGCTTTAATGTCATGAAACCGGATATTGTTTCCAGCGAAATATTTATCTCTTTCAATTTTCTACTTAATATATTAAAATAAAATAGATCTTTTATTAGGATTGGTTTAAGAAAATACGCTCACAATTAAAATAGTATTTTTCTCCCTGTGGCTAGAAATAGAAAAACTATTTTTAGGAAAATGAAAAAACGTATTTCCATAAAATTGGCTTGGAGCGGAATTTATTAATATAGGCGTAAAGTTCCTATAATAGGGTAATCAAATTAGTCATATTTGTAAAGATATCCTTTGTGCGAACAGTGTATTAGAACTGATATTTAGTTTACACAATTAAATGCTAAAAATGACAGATGTATGTCTCATGGTAGAGAATACAGGTAGTCACATCGACACAGCTGCTTTGACAATGTACTGTCAAACCGATTTTGGAATTGAAAATGTTAAATGAAACACTATTGAAATTTGTAAAAATTGTTGAAAATTCGTATCATAACAATTTCTGATTTGCGTCGTATGAGAAAACATCTATAAATCTACTATTTTTTAGACAAAGCCTTTTAAAAATTTTGACATACCAATGTTTCCAAGCGTTGATGCATCTACCTGAATTCTTTTACTATGGTATGCCTTTAAGGTTTTTTAAGACCTAACTCAAATCCTGTTTCCAACCATTCGTCCCCTGTATAAAGCAACATTTTTTTATTCCCGGAAAGAATGTTTCACCCCCAAACTCTGATTCTCCTACAACCAACCCACACACGAACAATTAAAAAAGAGCCGTCATTCATTTTTTTATGAACGGGCGGGCGTAGATTTTTATAACAAAAAATGCCAACAACAAATGTGGAATGAAAACAATTTCTGACGACCACATCATTGTCATGTAACCACATAAGGTAGATTATCGTGTAGTTTATGGTCATACGTTAAGATCACTGACCAAACCTGTTTCGAATTTTTGTTGGTAATTTAATGCATATTATTTTTTATTTTTTTCGCTGCAAAAAACAAAACTGAAAATTCCAAATACTACGGCTTGATCATAAGCTCATTCACAACGCCAAAACATTTCGAGAGCTGTAGTGGAGGTGATTTTATTAAAGATAATTACAATGAAGATTTGCCGGAGATGATGATAATAATGATGATAACGTGGTTGATACCCGGTCACCATGACCTTAACACACTTTTGTCGGTTTGTTTATTTACACATCTTTTTTGGAGCTATTCTGTTTACATTTGTCATCATCATTTTTAATGGTGTTGCTCCAATAAATCCGCTTGCCAACCGTCAAATCAACATAATTGTTGTCATCATTGATGTGTGTGTGTGTTTTTTTCCTTTTACGTTTTGTGGATGCTGCAAAAGTGAAATGAAGCGTGTTGGACTTACTTTGGGAAAAATGTTTGTGTTATATGGCGAGCCACTCTTTGGTCTTGTTTTTATCATGCAAATTAGCCGCGTTGACATTTATTTCATATTTATGTTAATTTAGTGCTACACAAACGTGTAAATGGTTTATAGTAAGAAACTCTATTCGAAGCTAGATTTTTGTTGAATAGAGTATGATGAACGTATGGGCTTGAAATTCTCATAAAATATTTTTTGTTTTTTGTTAATGAAAACCAAAGTGCATAAATTAAATGAAATGTATCATATTTAAATAAGAATAATATTATGTTGTATTATTGACATCCTATGACATCAAACCGGCGAATGTGAAAGTCATAACCAACATGGGTTCTTATTCTACTTTAGGCATTTAACCTTGAATATTAGCCAGAGGAAATGCTATAATTTCACAATGCCCTAGGCAAATACAGCCGTTCAAGAGTAAACAAATTAGCATAAATCTCCATTCAACTTTTAAAATCTACATGTATTTTTGGACATCTCGTACACGTGGAAACACACGCATTATATGACGTAAAGCATGTTTACACATACAAAGTTCAATGGCTTCCAACTGTCAATTGATTATGAATTCCCTATGCATTTTAAGACAAAACAGTTTTTTCAGAACGGATTGAATATATACTAGGTTAACCATTAAAACGTATGGGAAGTCAAAAAGTTGGCATACATGTTCATGAAAATATGCATTATGATGCAATAGCTAAGGGTTCGCCTTAATTCACATACTTTCTTGACATTTATTTCGCTTAAACTTAACTCTACAATGACATCACCGACTACATCAACAATTAATCATAAAAACCTTATAGAACCATAATAAGTGTCATTTTCGGATATTTTTTGGAGTATCAAAACTTGTTTTTTAACGTAAACACTACTCTAATTATTGCCAACTACTAACTAGAATTACCAACCATTAAATCTTGTGTGAGAAGGAAAAAGAAGAGAACATAGATTTTATATCTTTCTTTACAGATTATATAGATTACAACTCAATCTGTCATACACTTTCAATGAAAATTAATAGTTAAACCTACAAATTTTCAATTTTAAATTTTTTTGTTTTTTTTTTTTTTTTTTTTTTTGTTAAAAAAAATGTGAATGTTTTAGACTAGAAAAGGCTACATTTGTAATAATTCACAGTAAAATTAAGGAGGTAAAAGTACGTTTAAATATATGAGGGTTAACCCACTGGATTTTGATTTAAATTGTCATATCCATTACTTTTACTTCAAATAAATCCTCTCAAAGTAGGTTAACCCTACAAAAAGTTCTAACGTAAACATGGCATAAAGTCATTTCAAATAATACTATCCATCTCTGCATTTTCTGTAATTTACCTTGTCAAATTTCACTGATTTCTGTGTATACAAAGTGTTTATAAATATAAATTTTGACAATGATATGTTGTCAAATGAATAATTTTGAAAAAAATTGTATACATATGATTGCATGACTTTATCTTCTGAATTCTACCATAGAATAATTAATTTTAAAAATCTTTATTGCTTTTTTGTGGCCTTGTAGATATGGATCTTGCGTATTTTGGTAATACGGCCGTACGCATTAGGTAGGTTGTCAGAAACCGTCACAATCTACAAACAAACGCCATTCCTTGCGACAATATATATCGTTCTCTTTTAAACTTGCCTCTTGAATTTATTCCGGTAATTTTTTCTGCAACTTTTGCAACGATTTTTCTTTTATAATACAAAAAAAAAAAACAAAATTAACAGATTCTGGAACATAGCGTATTTCTGTGATTGATTGGTACAGGCATTTCGTCCAAAAATATCGATAGAACAAACCAGCAATCGATACTCCTTTTAAAACTACTATCGATTTTGCCATCGATTGTTTGCCAGCTCTTGTGTGAGGAGGTGTCAAAAAGCAGCGTCACAAAAAAAGACGAGGGCTTCAATTCAAGATATTTGCCTGGAAAATAGGTAAAAATCCATATATTGGACTATTCTCGAAGCGTTGTCGTAAATTTAATCACTTTTACTAGGAAAAGAAACAAACAGAGGTAAGAAAAGTTAAAAAAATGTGCAACCTAACAATATCTGTATTGTTTTAATGAGAAAAAATGTGAGCATTTTGCTGGTATTATTCCCAGTGTATTTGATGCCCGTAGGTACAGATAAAATCAATGGGCAAATGTTCATGTTGCGCCTAAATTATCTTGTGCATGTTGCCACTAAGTAAACCTATTTAAAGTTAATTATTCACTTTAATATGGAAAATTTATGGCTTTTTATTCGTACTATATTAATTTGAGGTTATGTCAAATTTACTTTTGAATGGAAAGGTGACTTTCACCTTATTGTCGTGGCAATGTACTGTAACATTCCAAAATAGATAAGAGACCGCCGGCATATTGTGTCACAGCGATTTTGATTTTTCCATGTTTTTAATTCTGTTTTATTAAAAACAATTATTTCAAACCTTTTGTAGACCATGGCCGACTCGGATGATGAGTACGATCGCAAGCGCCGTGACAAATTCCGTGGAGAACGCAGCTCGGGCGACAGTTACCGTTCCGAGAGACGTGATGATCGAAGAACTGGTGCTGGCAGTGCAGGTGGCGGACGTGATGATTGGCCAGAACGGTAAGTTGACATTCGAGAGACTGAAATTTTCTGTGTGAGAACCATTTTTATGCTCATAATTAGAGGTAATCCATTTAGAGGAGGAGCTAGTGGTCGACCAAGGCCCGACTACCGCGACTATCGTGGGGCAAGAGATCGTTATTCCCCTGACAGAGAAATGCCACCGGCAAAACGCATGAGACCCGGTTGGGGCGATGATCTGAGGGCTAATCACAGATATGGACGTAAGTTGTTTGAATCTCAACATTTTATTTCCATATCTCATAATGTTCCTCTCTACAGCATATGATCCATATTTACTGCATGCCTGGAATGAACACTACGCTGCTCACAGTTTACACAGTGCTTATGGCGCTGGCCTATCTCATGGCGCCCATCCCCGAGAGTCTGCTGCCAACAGTGATATGCAAACACAGCCTGCCATGATGACTCTGAAACAATTTTTAGACACACAAGACGATGGCATCTCTGATACCGAGGTCCTGCGTAAATACAATGAATACAAACTGGAATTCAAGCGGCAACAGTTGAATGAATTCTTTGTAGCCCATAAAGACGAGGAATGGTAAGTGGTGCAATAAGACCGAAGAAGAAACTGGATCTTGTGAGTTCAGTTTCTAATAGGTATCTACAAAATTTCCAAATCTACACTTTAATTGTTTAACGTTTATATCACCATCAAATGTGCCACTGTATGTTTACACAAGTTTTTCTCTACAGCTATTTTATACAAGGCATCCTTATGGGAGCCAACACGCCAACAGCCTTAGTAACTGTAGGACGATAAGTGCACAGCCAAAAAAACTCCATAGGGAGTTGTGTTGTGTGCCCTGAATATGCCTAGATTTCTCCTACTACCACTACTACTTCTTCTTCTGAATGAAGCATGATCATTTGATTTTCGATACGATTTGATTTAATTGTTTTGCACTTGGCGAGCAATGCCATAGTGTGTTTAAATAGCCTTTTTAAAATCGCGTTTATATTTAAATCGTTTTTTGAAATCTATCGTTATAAGAACGCCAGCAAAGCCATGATCTTTAAATCATAGCTAGCTGAAAGGTAAGATTTCACAAACACTATCTTTTTAAAATAATGTTGTATACATAGCGAATTTGAGCAACAACAATGCCCTGCCAAGCACAAAAGGTCAATAGGTCCTAAAAATCTTGTGGAGTGACAAATCAGATGAGAAGAGATTTACATGGACACACTTCAAACATTCCTATGGAAATTTATTTGAAAACTTACATTTCTTTTGTTATACTAATTTTTGTATTTCCAATTTCCATCTATTTTTTTGATAGGTTCAAGAATAAATATCACCCAGTGGATAGCGTTAAACGCAAAGATGAACAATTAAATTTCCTAAAGGTACATATTTATCGTCTATCATTTAAATATTGATAAAAATGTTAATTTTTGCTTTTCTTGGGTTTCCAGAAACGTGTAGAAGTCTTCGAGGAGTTACTACAGAACGGTATGATTCAAAGCGTTACCGTAGATACCAATCAAACAGACCCTCTTTTGCGGGTTTTGGACACTGTCGTTATAAAATTGGAAGGCGGCACCGATGAAGATCTTAAAATTTTAGACGAAAAGCCTAAAGAGGCCTCTTATCCTGAACGGATATTTGACAAGAAGGGAGATGATGATGATGTTATTATCACCTCGGTTGAAAAGAAGGATGACGATGAACCCAAGTGTGTCTCCCCCAAGGCCACAAGACGCCATAGTGGCTCCGACAATGAGGAAAATTGGGACGATGATTCAAAATCAAAGAAAGGCGAAAAGAAGAAAAAGTCTCTAAAAAGAAAACGCACAAGTTCAGATTCTTCTTCGTCCTCATCCTCCGATTCAGATTCTTCGAGTTCTTCCTCCAGCAGTGAGGATGAAGCGGATGACAAGGTTAAAAGTAAATATGATTTAGATGATGTCAAAGAAGATACTAAAGAAGAAGAGGAAGAAGAAAACAAGGAGAAGAATGCTGAAGAACCTGAAAAGGTCAAGTCAGCCGATGAGGAGACTGAAAAGAAAGCAGACAGCGACAATGAAGAGAAAAAACTTGTCGAAAATGGCAGTGAAGAGAAGGAAGATCTTAAAGAAGAAACCGAAACAAAATCCAATGGCAATGATGCTGATGGAGATGCTAAAATGGAGGAGGGGGAAGAGAACAAGAAGGAAGAAGAGTCAGAACAGAAGCCTGATGTTAAAAATGACGAGGAGGATGAAAAGAAAGAGGCCGTCGAGACTGAAACCTCAGCGGAAGATAAAAAAGCCATAGATGACGAACAGCCAGAGACAATTGACTTGGACAAAGTCAAAGACGGTCCTCAGCCACGTGCTTTACATCGCACCTCATCAATATTTTTGCGGAACTTGGCTCCCTCTATTACTAAAAGTGAAATCGAGGCTGTTTGTCAGAAATTCGATGGCTTCCTCAGAGTAGCTATTGCCGATCCCTTGGTGGAACGCCGTTGGTATCGTCGTGGTTGGGTCACCTTCAAACGTGATGTAAACATTAAGGAGATCTGTTGGAATTTGAATAACACACGTCTACGAGACTGTGAAATGGGCGCAATTGTCAACAGAGACCTCAGTCGTCGGGTGAGGCCTGTGAATGGCATGACTGCCCATAAAACTGTTGTGAGGGCCGACATTAAGTTGTGTGCAAAAATTGCCATGAATTTGGATGAGAAGTTTAGACTTTGGGTAAGGGGAAATAGGACTATCTTTGTGTGGTGTTTTTGAGAATATAATTTTGATTATTTCTTTTAGCAATCGTCCAATGCCGAAAGCAAGGGCGAAGGTGGTAGTGGTGAAAATAATAGTACTGCTGAGAACACAACAGATGCTCATAATACATCCAACTCTTCAACGTACGGCTTCAAAACCAACAACCCAGTTTTACAGAACATTACCGATTTCCTTATTGAGGAAGCCTCTGCCGAAGAGGAAGAACTCCTTGGCATTTCCGGAGAAAACAAGGAGAGCGAAGGCGAAGCCATTGAACGGGATCCCCAATTGATTTCTGTTCTCGATAATCTGATTTTGTATTTGAGAATTGTGCACTCAGTGGATTTCTATAACCACTGTGAATACCCCTATGAAGATGAAATGCCCAATCGTTGCGGCATTATTCATGCACGTGGACCCCCGCCGTCAAAAGTCTCGCAAAATGACATTCAAGATTATATTAAGAATTTCGAAAACAAAATGCAAACATTCTTGGCCAAGACAACGACAATCGAGGAGGAGGAATTGAAGAATCTGGGAGCAAAGGATGCTGAAAATGAAGTGGAGAAATTCATACAGGCCAACACCCAAGAATTGGCCAAAGACAAATGGTTGTGTCCGTTGTCGGGCAAGAAATTCAAAGGTCCCGAGTTCATACGCAAACACATATTCAACAAACATGGCGAGAAGGTGGAGGAAGTACGCAAGGAGGTGGAATTCTTTAATAACTACTTGAAGGATCCCAAGAGGCCACAGTTACCAGAACATCCTGGTAACAACAAGAGGACCACCTCAGAATCCAGTGGAGGTTACAGAGCCCCTGTATATCCACCAGCTGCTTATGCACCACCCTATGCGGCATATGCGCCGCCGCTTATGATTCCAGGACGTGGAGGTCGTGGTTTTGGTGGTCCCGGACGAAGGTATATATAGCAAAATTTTGTTAGTTCTAAATAAATACAAATAATTCCCATAGCTTAGTTTGTTATTGTAATGCAGTTGCTTTGTTTTGATATTTAACTCTCAGTTTTCCGATACTACTACTACTAGAATTTTGGTTGAAGTCTTTTTACTATTATTTTTTTTTACTCTACTTTACAACTATCTTTTGTGTGTGAACTTCTTTTACAGAGACTTGCCCATAGAACATCAACGTCGTATTATTGGTTATCACGATTTGGATGCTCCGGCCAATTTCGATATGTTTGATTAGACAACAACAAGAAAAAGAACATGAACATGAACCGTTATAACAACACCGACAACGACGAAATGACCATGACCAGTTTGTTGTTGTAATCGATGATTGATGTTAAGGCTAAAAGTTGTCGTCCTCCTCTCTTTTTGTTTTCTATTTTAGACAAAAAAAAAAAAAAAAAAAAACAAAATGTACGACCCAATGCGCCTACTATTCTAAACTTTGCAGTGTCTGTCTGTCTGTTTGTCTCACTACGTCATTGTTTTGTTCTTTTACTTTAGTTTAGTTTAATTTGATTTATTTTATATGTTTTGTGTTGTTTTTCTTTTTTATTATAAACATTCGCATTTGAAATGGCAAGCGAAAGAGAAGAAATACATACCATCTAATTTAAAATTTACCTTTAGCTAATTACTTATAAACGAAACGTACATGCCCCCCACTCCCCTGATTCTTTTAACTTGGCGTATGTTAGTAATTTGAAGATTTTGTGTTGGAAAATATTAGTTGAACATTGAACTAACCATATTAGCAATATATACATACATATAAACATACTATTAAACTAAACCATATTTTGTTATTGAACTTTTGCATATTTTTTTTCTTCTTCCACAACATCTTTTGTTTGCTTGCAGACCTGGTCAAGAGTTTCGTCAAATAATACAGTATCGTGACTTGGATGCTCCACAAGATCCCATTGATATGTTCAATTAGAAAAAAACAGAAAGAAAAAAGAAAAGAAATACTAAAATAAACATAAGCGCTACAAAATACGTATTTTACTTAATCTTAATATCATAGTCTCTTCCTACCTCCCTCCCACCACGCCCCCTCAGCAAACAGCAAAATGACAGCAAGCATAATGTATGCCCTACTCTGCTTCTGTATTTAGTTCAGTTCATTTCGGTGCGGTTGGTTCCTTCTTTCCTCGATCGATCAACTTAGTTTAGATTATAATCTATTCTATGATGTACGACTGTGTGTGTGTGCGAGCGTGTGAACGTACGTGTTAATAGCAAAAAAAAAAAAAAGATGACGACGGAGAAGAAGCTGCTAGATATTCTACAAAGCCAAAAACAAAAAGAACAATAAAAGCAGTCAGGCAAGCAATTAAACCATCTATCCCCATTTGCTTGTGGCAAACAAGAGGGAATATCACCACCTAGGCAAGCAATACAAACCAACTCACACACACGCGCGCACTCCCCACTTGTCTGTCTACCACATTTTATAATTAATAAACGTACATTGCTCTATGTAATTTCTATTTGTCAGTAACGGTATAATGTAGTTTTATTTTTAAAAATCTTGTATTTTATATTGTTATAACAAACGAAACAAAAACAAATCTTCATTATTATTATCAACATCATCATCATAATTATTTTCTTTTATAATAGTAATAGAATATTATTATAAATATAAATATATAAACCTATATTATTATAATTATTTAATAATAAATAGAAGTTCTCAACCCAAAACAAAAAAAAAAAAAACCAGCTGTCGCAGCCGCTTTAACACTCTTTACTCTTCCACCACAACCTTCTCTCAACAGCAGGGGCAAGCGTGTGATTTTGTTTTTTTTTCGCGGTTTGGTTCTCTTTCAGGAGCACATATTTTCCATATAAAATTTGACATTTTTCATTGCCCTCAGTATGTGGTCGTTCAGTTTATTGCCCGCCACACCATCGAGTTCTTTTTCCAACACCTCTTCGGCCTTCTCCAGCGATTCTTTGGCATTGGTGAACAGTTCCAATGCTTGGATTTTATCATCGTCTAGCATACGTCGACCCTGTTCCATGTAGACGGTATGCATTTCATGAAATATAATGGCCACATAGATGGACAGACGTATTGTGGCCGGATCAAGCTTCTGACAGATGTCATACAAGTCTTCACACATTTTCAATTTCTTTTGCAATTGGCTGCTGGACATCTGCTCCGATTTGTAACCCATTTCGTTGCCATACAGCTGGATGAGACAATGTTTCAAGCTGAACATGTGATAATGATTGGGATGCAAAAATGTACCCAATTTCTCAATGAGACTCTCGACTTGTTTGACTGTGGGACGACGGGCCATCAGGGTTTTCACCTCCTCCGTCATTTGTGTTAGAAGATAACCAACCTGTTGATGGTTTGGAAAGAAAAAGAGGGAAGGATGATTTGAATTAAAGTACTGATATCATCAATGCTAATAAAGTTGAATTCCTATATTTTCCATTGTATCCGACCGGCATTTAACACCCTCCCTTGGTGAAAAGTTGCTATCTTTCACTAACAACTATATATGATAAGGGAAAGCAAGGAAGGGGATAACATAGCTTTCGTATGACAATTCGAAAGTAAACACGAAAGAAAAACACCCATTCCTTGGTAGACAAAATATGAGTGGATTGGGGAGAAAATTTACATTTTCAACAAATTGTATAACTATTCATGGATCGCCTTAATTCCTATTGGCCCGGATCGACAGCGATGTGCAGAACATCTGCCCACCTTGTGGCACAGGACCACATCACACGCTGCACCTTTTTCGCTGTCCAGCCAAACCTACTCATCTAACTCCAGTCTCGTTGTGGACCAAACCCGTACAGGTTGCATCCTTTTTGAGACTGGATTTAGAGTCAGAACCCGATTGAGAAGAGTCAGATCGAACACGGTAGTATGAGCTGCTACAATAACAATTACTCATGGATGCCATTGCAGATATAAACCTGAGTTTTATATCAAAATTGCTTTAAGGGAGAATAAATGTTTGGATTTTGGGATGACAAAAAAAAAAACGTTTTCGTATTGAAGTCCTGAAGTTTTAAAAAAACCTCAAACGTCCATTAATTTTTCGGGATTTTTTCTTAAATTAAAATGTGGCAAGAAAAGTGCCAAATAAAAAAAAAACAATGTGCAGCATTTGTTATCACTGAATCTGAAGTTTCAAAACTCTGCCCTACCTTGTAATGATAGTATCAATCATCCATGCAAAACCTACAAAATCCTGCATCAAAGTTCCTTATCTTTTACTTTTCTACCTCTCATCAATTCTGAATTTGATATCTGATCTCTTTTAAAAATCCTTTCCCAGATCACAATTTTATTATCCCAACTCACCTGTTCGCCATTGACAACCATGGGACATTTATTACATATCCAATCGGTTTTCTTATCCAATGGATCCTTGGGCAACTGAATGCCACCATCACATTTTGTATTCACATCGCCGGCACACTTTAGGGCACTGAAATAGCTACCCAATTCCGTGGGATCTGTACAACGTTCGCAATGACACTTGAAATGTTTGGTGATCTGCAAGTGTTCCAGCCTCATTTGGGTGGCCCACAACATATTGGTGTACATGATTTTGATGTGCTCCCCCTCCTTGATGTCTCGTCCCGCAATAACGGAAATACTACAGCCATCACATTCATTAAATTGGAAATAACTGTTGGGCATGCACGAATGTTCCATCATGCAGGCGGTAAAGAAGACCCCACTCAGATCCAGACCCGTTGAAAGGCTAATGACCATATAATTGGTTTCTATGATGCCACAAATGCGACGCAGGATTTTTGCATCGTATTGCTCGAGCAGCTTTTCTTTGGACGTTTCCTCCCTCTTTTTGAGCGGTTCCAAAAAGTTCTTCATCAAATATGTGACGACACGCTTTTCGGCATCTCTAGAAGAACGAACGAACAGAAAAAATAACAAAAAGAGCACACAGACGTGCAGGCGGCACACACATCATCCATTGTGACGCATATATGTATGTAGCCAGCCACCAGTTAGCTACAGTGCCAACGTTTTACTTATGTCATGTTTTCAATAATACATACTCTTGCAGCTCTGATCCTTCGCGGTCCTCTTCATGGCTCTGCATCTTCATTAGCTTCTTCCACTTTTTGGGATTTTGCTTTTGCAACAGCAGACATTTCAATACCAGCAGAGCATCCGGCCTGTAGTAGTCGGTCATGGCTTTGATGTCACTTGTTGTTTTTGGTCCAGGGCCCAATCTTAAGATCTCACAATCTATGCCATGGCTATTGGGATTTTCAATATCTTCACAATGGGGTGAACAACAAGGCCACTGGCACCTGAGTGTGGGAATGGAGTTGTTTGTGTTGTTGTGAGAGCGCTTTTGAGATGATTCCAAATTATATAACTTACTTGGTGCAGCTGAAACCGCCAATGCGACAGGGTGTATAACAACCCACACAGGGCATAACGGGCACCTCCTGTTCTCGCTCCGAAACAAACCACTTGGGCCCCACCACCAATGGCTTCTCCTCGAAGATAACATTGCCGGCTTGTATGTCGCGCGTAACCAAAAGGTGGCGACCCAAAATTGCGTCATTTTCAATTCTATACGAGCTTTCGCATTCTACTTTGTGTTCCTGCCAATGTTCACGCTGATGATCTTTGCCACAATACTTAACACTTTTGCATGCCGAGCAAGTCAAAGTGGCTGGCACCTGACACACGGCACAACGATCGGATTTATCACTGCCGGCGGAAGACATTTCGCTGATTGTTATTGTCGTTGAAGTAAGGAATCGAAAAGGATTTCCCTTTCACCTGTGTTGCGCTTGTTTATTTGCTATTGGATTTATTTATTTATTTGTTAGTCAGATATCATCGATTCAATAATTTATTAACTTTAGTACTTGCACCGCAGCGGTGGAAACTGAAGAAAAGATGCTCGCGTACGTCTTTTTCTGATGGCGATGTTCGGGTTCTATTCACTTTAGTTTTTATATGCTGAGAAGGAATATATATTTTTAGACCATTCAACAGATGATATATACGCACACTTGCGATCCTAACCGTTTAATAAATTCAAATGAAATTCGTTTGAAGATCATCACACACTCCTACAGAGAACAAGCAACACCACAAGTCTTTCGTTCGTTCATTTCGTTTGGCTGTCGCGGATGTTGTTGTTTATGGGCCGGTGCAGGAGGCATGCGCCATGAGATGCCTAAATGTTGCTCTTTTGCGAAGTGTTATTATGGGTGGTGCGTATGTGTGTGTCGCATGTCAAGTTTGTTGGCCAGCACCACCATCCATAGGTGAGTAGCAAGTGGAGGGGCATCAAATGGTCTTAAAAACATCAAGACAAGAAAAACAAACATAATTGCTAACAACAAAAGGTGGGCCAAAGAAAAGGGGAATGAGTTTCAAGATTTCAGAAAATAATGATTTCCCAAAAAAAAAAAAAAAAGATCTAAGAGACTCAGGGCACAAACGATCATCACTTAAAAATATTAATTAGGAAGTTGGCCTACCAACATTACATTAAATGTCCATTTATTTCAATAGTAAACAATTTCAACAACTTTAATTCTTAAAATCTAAATTATGAGAATATGTGGCCTCGTTATGGTCCCCAACTGTATATACAGATATTCCATTAACCCACACAGCCTCAAAAACAACTTATGTGCTACTTATGGTGATGATGATGATCCAATCCATCAAAAAATCACCTCATTAATTCCGTAATTCAATGCGATCTTGCTTCAACAGGTAAGGATTTGCCTCTAGAATATCTTTTTGCTCTCGCATATTACGTACAACACCCGGTAAATTCCAGGCATGTCGCAGCAAAGCTCCTTCCACCGAAAATTTCCCATGGCGGATGCACCGTAACGCTGTACAATGGGCCACGGTACGCAGTTCAATACCAATTTCATGGACAAGTGTGGCTAAATAACTTTCCGATTCATTAATGGCATGAATTTCCAATGTAAAATGAGGTTTTTGGAAATCAATTAATTTAATGCCATAGATGATAGGCTGGCTGTTGTTGGCAGGTCGTATTAGGCCCTTGCAGGCAATTTCATAGGCTGCCTGGGATTGCATATCCACACCACATAATTCGAACATTTTGCGTTGATGTGAGGCTTGCAGGGAAGAGACTAAGGCACTTAAGCGGTCTGGATGGACATGGCGGTAGTTAGCCTTCAGCGTTGTATGCGAATCTGGCAAATGTGTTTCAGTGGCCTTGCCCAATTGGCCGGTTACATGGTAGGCTCGTATGGGACGATTGCGTTGTATTCTCATTGATTGTTTGAGGCCTTTGTTAATACCAAATACTAGGGGAAGAGACATCATTTTGAGTATTTTCGGCCACAAGAATTCCAAACTACTTACACAAAACTCCGCTTGTGTGGATACCCAAACTGGCAACTGTTGCACAACGTATATCCTCCATCTGATAACGTGGTCCCGTGCTGAGAACATGTTCAGCTAAATTCAATGAATTCACCTTCCTAAGTAAAGGGTCTGCAGCACCGCCTGGTTCCAGTAAAGGTATTTGATGGGCTTCGGGTTCGTTATTAGCCTTCAAGGCATTTAAATCTGAAAGAGTTAGGAATATATTAAAAGGCTGGCTAGAAATAAGAGATTGCCACAAACCTTCACATATGTTATGTAAAATTGCTGCCCGAACATGCTTGATTTTCATGCCAGCCGGTTTGTAGACATTTAGGATCCCATTGAGATTTCGAAAAACCAAGGAGGCATCTCGCACCTTTTGTAAAGCCATTTCGGGTCTCGGACCGGCAACGAATTCGCAACTCCACAATTTCCAGAAGTTCTTGGTGTAAATTAGTTTTTTATTTCAGAAATAAAAAAGGTTCTCAAAATGTTTGGACTACAAAAATATATAAGTAATCATATATATCATTATACTGTTTTTGATGAATAGAAAAATAGTTTCCCGGATACCTACCTCTGGGAAAAATTTCGAAAAAATCTAAGTTTTTACTAAACTAGAGTTAAACCGCAAATTTTATAGGAAGGTGACAGGAACAATTTGGCCAAAATGCAATGTATGCCGACTCGGCAATGAGACTGATATTGCAGTTTAAAAAATTCGGTATTATTTAAATTATTCCACACAAATCTCACAATATTTTCTGCCTACAATCATTTAAATAATTTATTTAATAATTTATATCAACATTTGTTTTTTTTCGACTTTAGCCTTTTTGCTTGGAGTAAAAATTATGTTTTGTTATGCCGACGGAATATTAGTTAGCCATTTAGTTAATATATTTTTTTTATTTTGATATTTTTAATCTTCTGAAATGTTTGTAAAGAAAGGAGAAATGACGTGCAGCCATCTGATTTTGTGTACCATATGTCTAGACGTACTTTTCGTTGACTTGACTTTTGTGCTGTCATTCCAATCACAATAATGCATAATCAGCTGTCTTGGAAGGGGTATACCATGGCAGAAGAATACAGGTAGATGCATCAACGCTTGGGAGCATTGATATGTCAAAAACATTAAAATGTTTTTTTCAAATATAAGTAGATTTTTATATGTTTCCTTATACTACGTCATTCCATAAACACCATAAACAGTTTGTTTTCGCCAGTGCCCCTTTTGCGATAACAGGAGCGTGTTATCAGTTTTCGTGATTAGCAGAAAAGGGTTATCAATTCACCCATCATATTCGTGACTTTTTCTCTTGAATTCCGTTTTGCATTCATATTCACAGCTGTGAATTGGTATCTCTGTTTAAGAGAGCCACACTGTTGAATACTCTCTTTGAAAGGCACGTGGAAGCATTCTCTGTTTATTTCTTATTTGCTGGCCAAGGCACAAGACATTCTTCCGAAATGAAGTGGACCACAGCCAATTTGAAAAGCCCAAATTACACCGAAAACCATGAAATATATGTGGGAACCAAAACGGGGACCTTCAAAAGTAAGTAAACATCAAATTTCTCTCAAGCTTTTCGTAAAAAACTCACTACCTTTCAGAGTTACTGCCTGCTTATGAAGACAAACCCTTCAAGCAATCCAACTTGCAAGACCTCAACGAATTGGACAAAGATTCGCACATAACCAGCTTAAGTTTTGCGAATGCCAATAAATCGGAGATACTTATTGGTCGGGGGAAGTCCACGGCACAGGTGCACTCGGTACGTACCGGTCATACACAATACACCATTGATTTCGAGGAGTCTCCCATTGTGGGCTTGGCGCGTTATGATAACTGTGTTGTTGCTGGCTTCGGTAATGGACACATACGCAGTGTGGCCATAAACGATGACGGTGACATTGATGAAGAACAACCCAAACTGCTGTTGGACAAAGTGGGTGATGATATGTCACGTTTAAGACAGTGTCCCAGTGATCGCAACATAGTTGCTGTCGGTGGCAAGGGCAGACAAAACAATCTGAAGATTTTCGATATGGCTGCCGGGGGAAAGCAGCTTTTTACATCAAAGAATTTACCCAATGATTACTTGCAACTTGAGGTGCCAATATGGGATTGTGATGTGGGATTCTTTGATTCTCCGCATACATTGGCAACATGCTCGCGATATGGCTATGTACGTTTGTATGATACAAGGAAGCAAAGACGTCCAGTTCAGTGTTATGCCACGGAAGATCAAATGAGCTTCACTACCTTGGCAGCAAATGGAAATTACATTTACACCGGTACCACAATGGGGGCATTGAAGGTAGGTTTAGATTGTCCATAGTTACCTTTGCAATGATGATAATGTATTATTTTTTTTTAAGGCCTTTGACATCAGACGCATGAAGACCTTTGTCCATACTTATAAAGGTTTTACGGGAGGAATTAGTGACTTGCATTTGGATGCTTCGGGTAAATACTTGGCCTCTGCCTGTTTGGATCGTTATGTGCGTGTACACAATGTGGACTCCTGTGTTATGTTGTATCAATGCTATGTCAAGTCTAAAGCAACCCGGGTACTTTTACGTGAATCCATGGAAAATCCAAATGCCGCGGAAGATGGCGAAGAGTTGGAAGATGATGAAAACGGCGGCAAATCAAAGGGCTCAAATAAAAAGAAAGCCAACAAAACGCAAGGAGGCGATGTATCCGAGGATGAAGAATATGAAAATATGTTTGACAATATGCAGACAATATGGTGAGTGGGGAGGAAGGAGTTTAAATGGGGAACGAATCATCATTTGTTTTTAATTTTTTTTAGTGACAATGGAAATGATGCCCAAGACGATGAGGATAATAGTGACGACGACAATGGAGATGGTGCAGGAGACAGTAGCAATGAAGAAGAACCCGAAGAAAAGCAGAAATCCTCCAAAGCTGGCTCAAAAAGAAAAGCCAAAGGAAATGCAATAAAGAACAAGAAGAAAAGGAATTAAAGGCCTGGATAAACTGATGATACATTTAAGTTAATAAATAGTTGTAACATATTTTCAAGTCCCCTGTGTTATTGGGATTATCTTTCAAGGTATGTGTAATTCCTTTGGTGGGGCTCAGTTGATTTTTGTATAAGCTAATTAAACTTAACACTTAAAATAAAAAAAAAAAAAATATAACGAATATTTTAATAATCATTAAAAAGTAATATAGTCCCACTCGAAGCGAGGAGAAAACGGCCTCAAGTATGACTAAAAATGTGAAAAAGCCACTTCACATATGTCCACCATGAATTGTAATTTACCTTTTGGGATTTTCCGTTTTTTTGCTTTTCAGGCTACGGAAAAACTTCCTACGAAAGTTCTTTTAATGTTTTATATCCATGTAATGATATTTTCCTTTTTAAAGTAATTGAATGATTTGGCTACAGTTTAACACACATTTTGTTGAAACTTATGCCCTTTTCTCTACAAGGATTGGGTGTTTTCTTTGGTGTTCATAAAGAGTCCAAAAATCATTTTATTCCAGTGTGGCTTGAAAAATTTGCGCGTAAGTAGACGGGCAAGGGTAATAATGTCAGTTCTATTTCGATCATTTTTTTTTAAATTTCACTTCTTTTTCCTTTCCTTAGAAACCCAATAAATCAACGCCTTTAAATATAACTGACGCCTAAAAGTATACTATAATTTATATTAACATCTTTTACACCAAGTTTGTTTACTTTAATAGTTATTATTTGGCCTTATTACATTGTATTTAATGTTGAAAGTGACATTTATTTTGATTTGCTTTGTCGGACAACACCATTCCAATTACCAAAAACAACAACAAAAACAACATTAAACATAAATAGACAAATGGATGTGAATGTTATGTCATTACATCAATTAACAACAAATCCACAATGGGGAGATGAAGGCGGCTGGCAAACGTGTAGCTAACATAAGAAATAAGTATTTGGTAGTTTTGCTCTCCAGCAGCACACAAACCCACACACATCTGGTCACACACAGACTGACTGACAACCGTCTCCTTGGGTCACGTGTGTGGTTAAAAGGACTTCCCGAGTTAATGTCTACATTCTGCAATTAGGCCTTTGATAAATACCTTTGACCATTTAGAACATATTCAGGATCATGGTTGTTGTTAGTGTTATTTTGCCTAATGGTACTATTAGTTGTGTGTGAGTGTTTTCATAGTTGTAATAAGTATAATGAAAAACATAATGTTTCTTTGTGTTATGGCCAAGTTGAATAACATATTTTTCCCGTTGTTGTTTTTGTTAATAACTGAAATGAGCCAAAACATAATTTGGCTTTAAGTGAGTATTAAATGTTATAAACTACTACAGCAAATGACTAGGTGTGGTCCCAGGCACATATATATTTATGCTCATGTGTTATTTCCAACACCTCCCCTTCACACTTCACAGAATTCGACCACAGAGATTGTGGTTATGACAAATGAAATAGTGGACAGATTCAATGGGAGCAGAACTATAAGCTGAGTGTGATTGTGTGTGTGTGTACGACTTAATTTGTGACAATAGTAATTCATAATAGGTATGTAGTGAAATTGTTCTCTTATTGAATTGAAAAGTAGATTTATTAAATAATGAGGTAGATTATTGGTTCAATAATATATGTATTTTAGGAAGGAACCATTATCATGGAATAGCATATTAGGATTTTGGAAAGGAAATACTAAAATATATGAAAATTACTAGAAACAGGCACATAAACCTATAAGCCTGGCATAAGGACATGACAATAGCAGTCTCTTCTTCTTGTCTGTAATACAGTATTTTCAATTATATTTTAATTAAAGAAGAAGCATAGACAAATAAATGGAATAATTCCATATTTACATTAGGAAGTTTGCTTGTGATAAGTCTCTGTAGGAGAGAGAGAGAGAAGAAAGAGAAATGTATATTTGAAAAATTTCAATACAATTGAAGGAATGGCCAGTATCCTTTTGTGTTTTTATTTTTATACAAAAATATTAATATCAACGACAGAAGACGGAATAATGAAGAACGAAAATGGCTGAAAACAAAAATTAAGGAAGCAAGAACAAAATATAACGTTTAAAATTTTTAAAATTGTCACAAGTTAACTCTCCCTGTCTAAATCAGGAGTTTCATATTGTCTCTTCTTCTTCTCTGCAATTCACTGTAGATGAATACATTGTAAAAGAAGAAGACAGGAATGTTAATTTCATGTGGTGCTTTTATTTTTATACAAAAATATTAATAGCAACGACAAAAGAGGGAACAATGAAAAACGAAAATGGCTAAAAACAAATTGATTCGTATAAATTCAGAGACAAATACAAAAGAGAACGATTAAAATCGCCACAATTCAATTCCCCCAGTCTGTCATTATGACTCTTCTTCTTCTCTGCCAATCACAGTTGATGAATACATTTTAAAAGAAGAAGAGAAAAATGTTAATTTCATATTGAATTTAACGACTTTGAGGCAGCACCATCGCCGCTTGGACAAC